TAAAGTTAAGCCAAAGTCATTACTCCCCACACCCACCAAAGCTGGTAGTTAGCGCACCTGGGAGGGGTGCTTGCGCCAACCCGGGATCTGCGTTCTGCAGCTTAGTATTTGGGGACATAATCTGCCACAAATGTTGCGTAGATTACTTTTTTCCATCTTTGCCCCTTCAAAGAGTTGATAGAGGAACAAAAGCGATTGGCCATTTTACAAGAGGAAGAGCTGAAGATGATGTGCGAAAGGCGTCGACTATCCGAGGTTTTGACAACTCTTAGGAATTTCCTGGAAGGCTGCCAACGTGGCGCGGGGATCCCAACTGTAAGTAAACTTTATCCACTGTGCAATGTGGCGTTTACAAATTATTCAGAGAACCATTTTCTTGGCTAAATATCAATAGTTTAATACTTTTTAAATAGCAATGCGATTGTTTTAATCTGTATGAACGTTTAGAACTCAGCAGTGTGAATATTAATTAATTCCCCCAATGATTGTATGGAATCGCTTAAAAGATATGAGACAGTTCTAGTTTGATCAATAATCCTGTAGTGGCGCTCACTTTCCCGATCAATAATTAGTCTTCTCAAAGTTAATCAAATGCGTTTTGGGGCTGAGAATTATTATCTTCTGACCTCGTTTCCTCGTAAACCTAAAATAATTTATACGACTAGGTTACATACAGTATTCACGATTTTAATGCAATCATCTTGGGACGAGGGTAAGGAGTTTGTTTCATGCTTTCCCAGTTTTTCATTTGCTATTGTGAAAAGAGTTCTTATTGATCTATAACATTCAAACGTCTTACGACCTCCACCACAAAATCAGATGAGGTTAGAAAAAAATCAATGATTGAAGAATAATCTTGAGAAGAATGAGAATGTTCGAGGGACTATGAGTGGAAAGCTGATTATGTACGTGAAAGAGCGAAATATACAGGGGTTTATCGAGAAGCATGAACAATTCCAAAATGCATATGATTTAATACAGTTAGTGTATGGAGGGGAGGGGAGGGGAGTGGAGAGGAGAGGAATATCCCTGAAAGAACTCCTGGGCCGGGCAACTTCGGTGGCGAGTGGAGTTGACTCGATGCTGCATTGACTGGTGAAGAAGGCTGTTGGATTGATCTGCAGGAGGGTGGGAGGGAAGGATTGGCGCTAACGAGCATGCGCACGTAATAAGAGGGGAGTAGAGCGCGTGGTGATGTTCGAGCCGCTGAAGAGAGCCGTGAGTAGTGTGTGCGGAGTGATGGAATGGGAGGGAGAGCGAGGGGAAGAGCGCGAAGCAGTTGGGCAATGACCTGGAGTGGGTTGGATCGGTAGGCGAAGGTGGTGTGGAGTGAGGGTTGGCGGGTGAATGATGGGTCTGTGAGGTGGTTGTGAGGATTGTGAGTGAAGGTGTGGGTGGGAGAGGCAAGTGTAGGTGTGGAAGTGGGTTAGGCTTGGTGCGGCGCCTCGTTATCGCTTCTCGGCTCTCTGAGCTAAGATCATGTGTAGTATCTGTTCTTTGCAGTGTAATTTCTGCAACGGTCCCTAATTTGGGGCCAGTGAAATTACCTGTATTTTTCTAATCAGGACGGGTGCTGTGAGCTTGCTCAACCCCGTCCACGGGTCGGCCTCGTATTGCATTACATCGAGGATTGGCCAATTCATTACTGACAAACAATAGAGCCTCCCGCCTTCGTACTCACTCGCCTTGATCCTCCCGCGCTCACTCCGTACTCACTGCTTCCAACAAATTGTCCAATTCACTCTTCCATCCACATCCCCGTTCAAGATGCCATCTGGTGCACTCAGTTAAACAACATCCAAGGAGGACCTACTACTCAACCATTAGTGTATTTTCCAGTTTGGTGTTAGCTAATTAGCACGCTATTGATTGAATCGGTAAATATAATTTTCATTTCTCAGTTACACCATGGGGAAATGCCCAGATGCTCTTGAAATTAGTGCTCATAAAAGGGAGTAAATTTATATTTTAAGAAGAAATTTCAGACTTGATTGTAAAAGAGCGAGTCAGATTTGTTCCAGCTTTACCTACCTATTAATTGACCCTGGTGATGATTAGTTCCACGACGCCATTGGCTAGACCTTTATCAGTCAAGGGCTCATTCGACTGGTCCTCTGATAATTTACTTGACAATGACGTTCGATCTGGATACGTACCGGCATACAATCAGGCTATGTTATTTCATAACACATGTGTTAAAGGAGCTGTCCAACTTTTCCAGCTGAAGGAGGGATGAGGTAAAGGCCATCTTCATAGTTAAGAAGATCCTACAATCATTTGAGTCCTGAAGAACTCATTAAGCAGGCTTTCAAATTCTCTCTTAGGTTGCATATACCTCCTCCAGTATTAGCTGATTTCTATATTGGTGAGTAACAAGCATCCCTTGAAAGCCCATCTAACGCCTCCCTTCGCAAACAAAGTGTATAGTCAACAAACATTCATTTGATAAACTGGATGTGACTTTTAAGCAAATAATTCTAGTAAAATGGACTAAGATAAAGTATCTACTATTTATACGTGTTTGGGATAGAAAAATGAAATAATAGCAAACGAAATGTGGGGTACTTAGAAATGAAACTTGAGCTTGTTTTTGTAAAAGAACACATTTTTTGAGACATTGGAGCTAGAATTCGTAAAAGCTTATTTATTGTATTGAGTAGCTTCTTGATTTTAAGGGGGGGGGATAATGCCTTTTGCATCTAATTTTACTTTTAAAATAAAAGCTCAAATTGAACCATTTGACTCGAATCTCACTTGGGCCACTATATTTTATCGCTGTTTTTCTCTCTTTGTAACAGGCAAAAGATATTGACGATATAAGAAGACAAATTGAAGCGAAAACAAATGCACCTGGGTTTCGGACTGCCAGATAGAGGTTAAACTCCATTCTGCCTTCAATCCATTCACCAAAGCTCTCTATGTTATATTTATGTTCATAAAGACGTCTTGCTTGAGATCTTGTTCAACAAAACCATCTTTTTTAAAGTTTTTCCTATTAGGGTGAGGGATTTGTTATGAGAGGTGGTCAATCATAAGTGCATTTGTCTACGTTATGAAATCATCTTGCAAGACTCAGGACCTTTCTAATAGTCACAAAATTAAAATCCTTAGTCTTCTGAGTTAGCATAAATCTTTGTTGAGTAAGTGAGAGACAAAAAATCTATGAATCGAGCTTAGAATTGGAAAGAACAAATGTATTAACGCACGCGCCGGGAGCGTATAAAATTGTGTGCGTGCGAACCAATACTCGTATGCAATTCGAGCACAATGGAGAAATGTGTCAACAGGACAACTTTCAGCAAGGGAGTTACTCACAGAAAGTGGTTAATCAATTGATTCAATATGTAGGTATACATAGGGAACATCACTGAAACCTGTACTTTGGAGTTTGTTGCATGGAAAGTAGCGTAGTTGAGAGCAGATTTTATTTATAGGAATAATGTAAAGCTAAGAAGCATACTGATGTTAGGTACCTATACAATGATTCCACTCAGAAATAGTAAAATGGGAAGGGATGGTTATAGTACCTTCAAGACAAATCATCAACTTAATTATTGCTATTTATAATGGCCAGGTCATTTAATCTGTTTGACTGCTTTAAGCCAAGCTAACATCGGAATGATACAAGTTTTGTCCGTTTTTCCATCTTATTATAAATAAATAAATCTATCAAGACATGTTGGCCTAGACTGGTAGTCTGGTGCACAGAATAGGTCCTTCAATCATGCTCTGATATTTCTCTCTAAAGATATCTTCCAAATCTGATAGATTTAGACAACTCATCTCGCGCTATCGTCAGTATTAATGAGCTATATTGGACCCGAGCTTTACTGAGCTCTCGCAGCAGTAAGTTAAGCAGAGATAAAAACTTCGTCTGCACGGGGAAACGACAACGACCAAAGAGAAATGTGTGTGATTGTCCAGTAGCTGGTACAGGCTGTGTCTGCGAAGTCGCATGTTACGGGCTCAACGCACGTTGTTACATGCGCATTGATTAACACAAAAATGCCTCCTGAATATATTTTTGAAGCCTCAAGAAGCCGGTCAGGCACGAAAGATGTGAGAAATTGATATATTCATTTACCTGTTCATTGTAATCTTATTCATATTATTATAATTGCTATTTAATTCCCCCATCATTCTCTGGGCTTAGTTTTACAAATAGATAATCATTTATGAAGCAATCTCTGTTGAGGACTGGCGTGCGCGATAGACTTACCTCCACGCAGAACACCCTGGGCAAACAAGTCTGAACAGCAAGTTAACTTCAAACTACCATGACCCCACCGTGTCATACTGCACCACTTCTACCGTACTCATCTTACCTTTTACGGTAAAGGAAAAATAGACACCCAAAACAGTGGATTGTCTCATAGATAAAGCCTAAGTATTCCTTTTGCTAACTTCCTTATTAGGATAACTCAAATGTTATTTTTAAAATGACGGAAATAGCTAATTGCAAAGTATTTAAGTTTCAAATATATGTATCTGTTTCATGAAAAAGAATGTTTTATAACATTGGTGCAAATGTCTACTTTGTAAAGCCTAAGTAGAGTATAGTGAATCAATTTTTCATTAAACGGTCGCTCTTAAATACAGTTTATAGTGGAAACACCTATTTTGCTTTAAAAAGATTGAAATATTCTTTTAAAGTTGTATGAATTTGGAAGATTTAGATAAAATCATTGTTTGCGATTGGGTGAAGGGTGTTCATTCAATTTCGTGACGTACTCTTCTATTCTAAAATACATTTGCACAAACATCCACCCCTCCTCTCCCCTCAAGTCTGCTGTCACATCTTTGAAGCAGACTTATCAACTAGGTGGTTTCAATCCTCTAAGAAGACAATTTTATTGAAATGATTTAAAATACCTTCGAATGTGTTGCATTCCCTACCCTGAATGTAAATCGACAAAAGTATCACAAAATCAAGGAAATCGACCTTTGAAATATTGTATAATATAGGGAAGATTCACACTAATGTGAGAAAATGAATAAATCATTCCAAAATTAGGACGCAACAAAACTTTTGACATCTTTCTTACTTACTTCTCTTTAACCTCAATTTCATCTCATACTGGAGTATTTTGCTTTTAAGCAATTTCAGTTACTAGCTCATAACAAAAATCTTCTTATATTTGTTTTCACTGTTATTAATACTAATTACAGCTCATTCAAGTTAGAGAAATGTCTTTTAAATCATTCACTTCACATTCAGAGCAGATAATCACCATACAATGATGTCTCTATTGGGCCAGAGATACTATTTCAATTTTACTTCCAATAGGTGCTCTCATACCCAATCACTTTCAACGTACTTAGCTAGGTCAATTAATCATACGTCCACGGTTTCATTTCCTAATCTGGCTTCACTGTTTGAACTCGGATAAAATTTTCTAAGGGTGATCTTCCCATTCTCTCTATTGCACATTTCGAAATCAGCTCCAAGGAGCATGAAAGAAAAGGAAACAAAATTCGATGAGATAGAACCGCCGTGCTCAAATAAATTTTAGCAGCAAAGAGGCAATTACCTCGTAAATATAAGCCTTCTTATGCATTTTCAAAATCATTTTATTTTGAAAGTACTTTTTTGTACTGCTTCTCACTCACATTCAAGAGTTGACACCTTATATTGACTAAATAGACCTATTAAGACTGTTTAGTGAAATGGAAAGTTGAACTGTTGAACATGGAATAGAGGTTATTACCAAAAGATGGCCAGAGTCTCGGCCATACCAACAAACGAGTATATGCCATGGTTATTCACATCCAATCGGTGTAACGTTAACCTCCCATTGGGTAGTTGTAATTGGCTGTGGTGTCTGTTAGCCAATCAAACTGAAGAATTAATGACATTGTAGTTCTTACTCGTCATTTTACTCTTTGTTTGTCTGCTTGAACATGGTCTCAAGGGGAACAGTCGATGGGGCTCTGGTTGTCATAGCCGCATTTTTCATTCATCTATCATACGGATGTATGTACACCATTGGTAAGGTTTTTCTTTTATTCAGTCTAATAATTTTTTTAGGAAATATGATTCCTTATGTTGCTTCGTATGTTGCCAAGCAAAATGACGGTAAATTCAACAATGGTTTGGTGGTGTGGATGACTGCAGCTCCCTTCCTCACACAAGGTATCGTCATGCCTCTCGGTGGAATTCTGGCTGCCAAAGTTGGTCCCAAACTGGTCGTGACCTTTGGATCGGTTATTTGCAGGTAGGTGAAATACTTCCCTGTAACTGATTCATTCAAAATGTTTCATAAGATGTATTAGTCACATTAAGGGGCCTGTACTGTTATTCATTTTAAAAATGATCACAATGGAGACTGTCAGTAATCTAGAATCATTAAAAATTGACTTTCATAACGAAGTCTCATTTTTGCTTTGGCTTTAAAACAACTTATTCGCTGCGTTTCACGATTCATTTCTCATGAATTACCTATTTGGTTTTATAAATATGGATAGGAATAATTTAGGTCCAAATTTTTGACCAGTAAATATGGCAATCTATGTACCTTTACCCAGTTTTCAATTTTATTTGTGAACTGTAAAAGGGGCAATGAACAACAGGGCCCTTTCACAAAGGCTATATTTACAAAGTATAAATTAGCTTATGCCTGAGGGCTTTCTGATTATTTTTGAGGTTCTTTAAATAGGGGAAAAGACAGATATTGCCCTTAGGCTCTCAGAATTTTTTACTTAGGCATTGACTACTAGAAGCGTTTTTTTGTTCAAAGAAAAAACCTAGTTTCGCGTCGTTGAGTTTACAGTCTTTCAGTTAGAAATCATGTCCTCAAACTAGTCCGCTCACGTGTTTTCGATTTTTTATTGATTAGCCATTTTACTCAGCACTAAGCTAGTAATTACGGCCAGTAACCGGTCCATGCATTTGTCACATTCAAAACTTCAAGTTGGGAACGACTTCGAATTAAGACATTTAATGATTTCCATAATGTATTTCTTGGCTGTCTACTAATTATTGTCTACTTTCATTGTCATCCTAATTTAGTATTTTGCATTAGTTCTTCATTAGTTGAGAAATTGTCGCGGTTATTTCAAATTAGATTCATTAGGGACGAAATCTTTCCCCTTAATTTAAATATTTGATGGGACCAATAGTTGACTAAGTTGACGTTCTTATGGGGTTATTAGTCGCTTTCATGTTTTTCAATTTTTGACCAAATCAATTTGGGCGGCATCCACCATTTTAAACAGTGTAGATATCACTATGGCTATTGCTGATTTGTATCATATCGCCTCTCCCTATTGTCACGATCGTTTTGTAGAATTGTCATATGACGCTAACACACAAAGCACACTACCGCATTAGTCATTTCTTCCCTATTCTACCGTTGTCCTATGTGAACTGCTATCGGTAACATCCGGTATCTGTGCCATTGTTTGAAGGCTTACGATTCTAGCTAGATGAACTTTAGAAGTCAGTTTTAAATGACTTAACTAAATGAAGAAACTTTTTAATATCCTTTGTTTTTTGTGTTTATGGCATACACATGGCTAGCTTGTCTGTTTTATTTTCTTCCACTCGTTCAATCAAGCTCAAACTTGACTAATGCGATATAACACTTGGAACTTGGAAATTGATTTTAATGACCTTCAAGCTATTAAATTTCCAAAAGGTCTTTATATCGGTCACGCTGTGAGGATACCAATTTATGCAGACGCCAAATTGTGGGTCGCTAAATTAACATTTTCAATTAAAGTACAAGAAATAGTTGCACTGGCCAAAGTGTATCGATTAAGCCATTATGAGGATTTGGACGAATTAGCGGGGAGAGCGAGATGACGGAGAACAAAGCGTATGAGCGAGGTAGCTGGCAGACATGTACGCGTGTTCGCATATGAAGACAGATTAGGAGTCATTTGGGCCACTCATACAAAAGGGGACTCGATAAAATTGTCAAGACGCTGCCGATATGAGTTCGGTTGTAGGCCAATAATGACAAAGAACTAGCGTATTTTCGTAGAATGTGGCTAGATTAATTTGTGGTAATGTATAGAGAATCTCTTTTCACAATTTATGCTTCTTTTGAACACTGAAGGGAGAGGGAAGGGCTTTTGACTCAAAGTATGAATTTATTGCCTTTAAAAATGTCTGTCTTCTTATATGGGTAAAAATAGTTGGCAATCGATAAATCAAATACAGTGTCCAGGTAGAGTATGGAACCCAATGACTGATAATCCATTGTGGTAACGATGAACCCATCTTATGAATAATATTCGATTCGACTTGATAATAGTTGAATAGCGAAAATTGCCCTCAATCAATTATAATGCCTATTACTGCATGAAAATTTGTTCAAAATGTTTGTTGAAAGGGCAATTGCACCAAAGGCTCATTGAGAAGTAGCTAAAGAAATACATGTCGGGAATGTTTTGAATTAAACACTTTCATGAAATATACTGCCTACTTTCGGACAGACTAAGGAAGCCGAATAATTATGTGAACATGACTTAGCCAGAATCAGGAAACCGCTTATGCTCTTTGCACTTTTTCGCACATTCTTATGAGCATATGAAAACATGGACATGGATTTAGAAGTTATCCTTACAAATGCAGTACTATGTCCATTTGTAGAAGCCACTACTATTGGTGATGTGGTATTGCTGAGAACTTACACATAAATTTGATTTTCTCAATTCCGTGTACTGATAGCAGTTTAAGTGATGAAGATCAGTATAGAGGAAATACTCTTTTTGAATAAAACTAAAATTGAAAATTACTTTTAACGATCTTATTTCTATTCCACCGTGTCAGTTTCTCCATGAAAACGAATATTGGCGCATTCTTTCATTTGCCATTCTATGTTATGCCATTCATTATGCTTAGCCCTATTTAAGAATTAATTTGGCTTCCAGTTGCTTGCATTAGTACTTTGTATCAAATATATGTGCCAAGTTTTAAAATGTCTTCCCATCCATCCTTTTTTTATGTTATTGTTGTAGCATCTATTCACATAACAAAGGAGCTCGTCAGTGAGTATATTTGGGTTTGTGGTCATCAATCTCTACACTTTCTCCTCACACTCACTTATACAGTCTTGACACTCTGAATTTGAGTACATTTTAAATTGAGGTTGGTGTTTAGTGGCATTCGTCTCCTTCTTGTTCTCCAAGCATCTGACTAGCATCTTAGTGAAGTTTTGCCTTAATTAACTGCTTATTTTACAGGTTTGAATGCACCTAATTTTGTTAGGTGGAGTTTCAATATGACCTTTGCTAATATCCATTTTCTTTCTGAAGATTTGTCTATGGATTGAATCTTAAGCATTGCATTTAACAGGCAAGGTTTCTCAAGGAGATTTTTTCTTCTTGAACTTAAAAACTCGTTTGAGTGATTAGCATTCCTTTGCAGTTCACGACGGTCCGAGCAAGTGCTTCGGTGACGATTCACCAGTCTTTATAGTTGAACAAAAGCTAAATTCGCTTACCTCCATCCTATGCATATCCCAGAATGTTCAAAAGTTTGGAGATCTATATGTGGAGTCTGGATTCAATCGCGTATTGAATTCAGTACCTTAAACGTAATCACTTTTAATGATTGGTTTCCGTTTTGTCCAAAACCAAACTGCGGTCAGTTAATTAAAAACATGGCCTGCGAGACAATAATTGTTTATGCTGAATAATTGTTATTGTGTGCGCATAATTTGTAATGATTTTCGTTTCCTTTTAATTTTCAACTTCGGAATCACAAGAGCAAATCTTATTATTCAGCGTATGTTTACTTATGTTTATGTGAAATATTGAAATTCTGTTTCGATGTCTGCTGGCATATGCTCGAGCTGTCATCTTATGTAATCTCGCAAACAGTACTCTGCTGAAATATTGTAACAAGTATGAGATGAGCTTAAACATCTGCTAAACCGTTATTTATGACACACAACGAGACAAAAAATAAATTCATTTTAATTGTAGGAAAATAATTGCATTAGTTTAAGGATAAGGGAATACTTGTAAATACTAAAGAAGCTATCGACTAACGAATTCTCGGTTAGTAAACATTTGTGAAAATTAAGGGCAAGTGTGGAAGATGTCATATTTATTGTCTTTTAAGCTCCCCTCCATTCCCTTTAGGAGTCGTGCTCAAGCGCTTGATTTGGGTAGAAGAAGGGGTCTAGTAGACACTTGCGAGAGTTCTCATTATGGATTAACCGTGAACGGTTTTTCATGGATATCTCCTGATCCAATGAGTTTTGGTCACGTCAATTGGGTAGCGGTGAATTATCAATACCTGCTCGAAAAAATATTTTTTTAAAGCTCATGACATACAAATTTGACAAGAGGACGTTTGCCAATATAACTAGTTTATGGAAGAATGGAAATCAAATATTGTGGCCATTCTTTTTTGAAGTTCAAATGGTAATTGTTTCCTTTTTGTGGCAAATATTTTACCTTGAAATAATTGGGGATTTTAAATTATCTGAGAAATTTTTTGAATGTAAAGTTTCAAGTCATGTACAGCTTGGCAAGTCAAGTGTTTAACAATGTTAATAGCATAACGTTTCAAATTGATGTCGTCTCCACTCGTCCTCATTTGTAAATGTTCAACTTCATGTTTACTTAATATCTGTTAGTAGTATCGTTTTTACAAATAATAATTAGCATGTGCACGAGCTACCTGGGAGCCATTGGTTGGTCTACGACTCCTCGTTAATGAGCCGTGTTGCATTCATTATTGCGTTTAATTGTGTTTTCTATTTGACTGTTAGGACATGATTAATTTTTGTAAATTTAAAAGTGTAAAATTCTACAAATTATTTGTGTGTTGTAAGCATCTACGAACTTTTGTTTTGATTTAAAAGCATGAACTGGTTTCTATGCAACAACAAGTAATTAAAGCATAAATTGAAATTGGCTTGTCAATTGAGATATCTTTTAAATCCGCTATCAAAGACGTTTCAGTTTTACAGATAGTAGTATTCATGATATTCTGATTATAGATGAGGAAGTTATCTTTAGAATATCAAGGGGATTTGGTTTGAGATTAGGGTTATTGGCTTCTTTCCTTTCTTTTTATGTTTTCGATGGTTATTCGGAGCTATTCGCATTGAATTTTAAACCAACACTGAGGATGGTAATCTTTTGTTGGGTGTTTTAGTTGTCTTTTTCTTTGGAAAATATTACGGCGCTACCGGAAGTTGGTCATCGGGCGTTAAATTCATCAAGAACTTTTGTTCCATTTAAGCCGCTTCTCTTGTGAATGGTGATTAAAGTTGGGGAAAAATTATTAAAAAGATTTGGTGGTCAGAAGTCATTGTCACTGGTGCCTATTCATGGGGAGGGTGGCTTGTATTCCATTTTGCATGATTGATAGTTATGCCTTGTGTAAGTTGTGATTCCTTTTTAATAACTTTCCTACTTGAGTTTTGAAAGAGACCTCCCTCCCCTCTCCCCGATCTGAATTAATTAAAGTAGTTGTACCTAAACATATATTCAACAAATTGAAAATTACTTGAAAGTAATATTGAAAAATACAACGGCGAATGAATTGCCTTTTGTGCGTTCAATCGATTGAACTTAGTTGCAAAAATTTGCAATGAACTGACGAACGCCCTTCTCTTAATGATTGTTTTAAGTAAATCTATAAACCTAAGTTTACAAGAATAACTGTGCATTACTGTTGTTTGCCAAAAAATGTGAATCGCGGATAAGATAGTGTGGAAATTCAGTCGAGTTTTACTTGATTTTACAAAATACGCAATCTGAGGTTTTAGATAAGGTCAACTTAATTTGGGGCATCTGGTTATCTGAGTCATGAGTTTATTATCTTTTCTGCGACCTCTAACCTCTTGACTATTTCACTTTAGGGTGATGAAATTTGCTCCGCGTTGTTCTAAAATTATGGGATGGCAAAAAACATCAAGTAACTATGCTATTTGCGTGTTACTGAGGTAAATCTTCTCTATTGGAGAATCGGCACAAATTCAGAGAATCAAGACATTTGCAATCTTTCATATGATCTTAAGTCTAATACTTAAGGGGTTAGTTTTGCAAACCCATTTGCAATCGTATCAATTTGGGCTCGTTTTCAGTACTACAATGTAGTCAAAGTAATGACTAAGGTCTTCCAAGATCCAAATTGATAAATTGGTTTGGAAACCGTATACTTTGTACCAAAGAAGGCATGTGTTAATTATTTGCATTCAAGACGGAAAAATTATTGTTTTGCTTCAAAAGATTTTCTATGTCAGGAATATGCGTGTTGCGTTTCACTCCCTATATCTCTTGGAGTGTTCTTTTCCTATCTTCGTTGTTTGTAACACTACTTATTTAGAATTCTTTGCTTACAATCTGGAAAGTACATTAATCTTTAATTTAGAGTATGGCATTAGCATTTGTTTGAATGTCACCTATTAGGGTGAACTGAACGTGTTGCTTTATCTCAGAAATCAAAATGGTTTATCTGACATTTTACATAATTTCGTGTCCCAAAGGTTTCCCATAACGCTGTAATTGATAGCATGACAATGTGTTTCAGTTCAAATTCGGAAATAACACGTCGGATAATCGTTTCTACCAATTTCCAATTTGTTTTCGACCTGAATTTACATTAATGTACATTGGAGTAATTTTTTCTCGAGGGTTTCTTTGTTCCAATTTTCATTAGAATGAATCATTTGTAGTACTGAGATTTTGTAGAAATCGGTTGCTATCTTTCATTGCTTAACGAAAGATTTTCGCAAAGTTTATTTTACTTCTACTAAGAGTGTAATTCACCGCAAATGGATTGATTCTTATCAGTCGGATCAAATTTAAGAATTTATACAACGGCTCTTACTCCTAGCTCATTTGTTCTTTTATTCAGGATAGTATAAAGAACAGATCAATTCTAATAATTTCAATAGCCCTATTTTAAAATATCGTGCTCTTTTATAGTCCAAAATTGTCGGGTTTGGAGCCTTTATTTTGCAGATTGTTTTGACACTGCAAACGACAAGTTCCAGCTCATTTTTTCATTTCAGATTAAATTTAAGGTTTGCAGTTGGGCGTGCCCATTTAGGCAGATAGGTTTTTTGTATCAACATTGTAAAAGAGCCTCTAATTATTAGCTGATTAATTAAACCAAATGCTGTATTTGCTTTCTTTATATGAAACTAGTTTTTATAGCTGATAACCCTGCAACCTTAGTCTATTTTTGTAGTTTTAATTAGTCCGTCATGTCTGAAAATTTTGAAAAGCATGACCGCTGTTTCTGTTCTGTGATTGGTCGAGCGCTGAGGTCACTGTGATTGGCTAGCGTTGGTGAATCGAATCACTGCTTTAAAGTCATTGGATGACCTGATTTGGCTTTGCAGAACAAGCGTCCAATGATAGGTTGATTTCCATTTTCGACTATATATATTGGGACGCCGGAAGCAAGTCCACGTAGTCTACTTTTGACAATCATGGTTCAAAGAAACACGATTTATGGTGTGCTAAATGTAATTGCTGGATTTTTAATCCACTTATCCTTCGGCTGTATGTATACAATCGGCAATATGACTCCTTATCTTGCTTCATATGTTGCAAAATATATCGATCCAAATTTCAATAAGGGTCTCGTTGTCTGGGTTTCTGCTGCAGCACTTGCAGCCCAAGGTTTGTTTATGCCATTAGGTGGCCTCTTTGCCCCGAAGTTGGGTGTTAAGTTGATTGTGTCACTTGGATGCGTCATCAACAGGTTTGCATGCAACGCATTATTTGTGCTTTCTTCATATTTCAAGTCAACTTTATTAAATTTTCCTTTTCCACAGTGGTGCGCTTATGCTTACATACTTCGCTCTAAAATATGGATTTGTCTGGGTTTTGGTTACTCATCTGATTTCCCTCGGTTTGGGAGTTGGTCTCGCCTATTCAGTCGTCATGCAAACTGCTGCTACGGTAAGTCAAGTCATTATTCCTTACTCTTTCGTCCAATGCAGTGGTTCCCTGCCAATGGTGGTTTCGTTATCGGTCTGATTGCGGCTGGTTTCGGTTTGGGAGCCCTCGTCTTCACTCCAATTCAAATGGCCTATGTGAATCCAGAGAATATTGAAGTTGACCCTGATACTAGGTTTGTTAATTCCCTTTAGTAAATTACCATATAGGTATTTTACTGACGATGGAGTTTTGGGACGTGTTCCGGTATCTTACCTTGTTATTGGTGGTATTATGTTGGGACTTCAAGTTATCGGATGCCTCATTATTCGGAAAAAGCCATCTCCAGAAGATGTGAGAGTTTAAATAGCTGAAATACTGATATTGTCTTATTGTATGACCCATGATAATTTTTTTTCGCAGGACGTCGTTGCTACTGATGCTGAAAGAGCAAAAGAGTAAGTTCACAATTTTAAAGTACTGTCTAAAAATTATCGCCTCCGTCAAATATCTTTTGATTTAACTTTACTGCTTCAGCGTTGAAATTATCATTTCTAATCAGGTCATTCTGCATAAATTATTCTTTTTAATCCAGTCGTCATGACGTGTTAAGCAACTATGGGTTACTCATGAATGACGCCCGTGTGTTGGGGTCATCTGATATTCACTTGTAATTTACCTGGTTAAAGACCAGCTACATTCGTACTCAAGCAAATAGTGCTTTGACCTTTACAGTGTGATCCATGGTACGCCATCACTCTTGAAAACGATCTCCAACCCCCCCCCCCCCCCCCCCCCCCCCCCCCCTCCCTCCTTCCCTCCCTCACAGAATAACATCTTTGATATATTGTCGACCTAATGGTTATCCCATATTTTACTAGCAGATCTGCTGTATCTGAATTGTGATTGAAAGTAGGAAAACTTAGCTGTCCAGGCCTGAAAAATATGATGTGAATTTCGTTAAAAATTTTTTATGGCTGAACTGACTTAATCTCACTAGCTAATCCCATTCTCGAAATTTGTAAATATCTTATTTTCACCTTTTTGATCGATTTCTATATTGAAATAAAAAACTAGTTTGGTTATATCTTGGATGAGAAATGATGTGACATTTAGTAATTGAGGAAGGCTTTACACTACTTTCCTATATAATTGGTGCCATTTCCATACTTTCCATAGGAAGTCAGGTCCTTTTGGCAGTTGCCTTATTTCCTCAAAAGAAAAATTTGTGAACTATTTTTCTAATTGAATAATGGCATTTTTTATTAATCTTTTAGAGGTGGAGATTTATTGCTCGAAACCAATGGCGAACAAAAGCCTGTTGAGGCTATTGAGTAAGTTGGAAATTTGCTGCTTATTTTGATGATGGAACAAATTGATTGGAGTGGTTTCAATTTGATTTGCAGGGAGTTTAATATGTCTCCCAAGATGACACTCAAAAGCAGGTACTTCTACTTCCTCTGGCTTCTCATGTTCTGCAATATCATCCCAATCACTCTTCTCACCTCTTCCTACAAGGTTCGTATTCACTAATTTACTGTTTACACTAGCACTCTAAGTTATAGATTTGTAATATACTTTTGCTTCTCTGCAGATATTCGGAAATAAGTTCTTTGCTGACGATGTCTACCTTACCACAGTCGCCACTCTAAGCTCACTCTTTAACTGTCTCGGTCGTGTTTTCTGGGGCTACCTTGTCGATAAATTCTCATTCAAAGTTAGTTAATGTTGAACCTAATTGTTTTGTCTATCTCAATCGTTAACTTTGAATCGTTTCCTTTAGCTTCCCATCGCCAGCATGCTTCTTCTTTGGTCTTTCTCTCTTTTCTGCTTCCCCAATGTCTTTGTTTGGGGTGTTGAAGTTGGCAAATACACTTATGGAATCATGGTATGTCTTATGTTCTTCTCCATGTCTGGTGTCTTCGCTATGATGCCTGCCGCGACTCGCCTCCTGTTCGGTCCCAAGAACATGGCCACAAACTATGGCATGGTCTTCAGCGCATTTGTAAGTAATCTGCCTTAGCAAAGTTTGATTTATAAATGACTCAATCCGAACCTCATGCATTAACGCTTATAGACGGAAAGTCGGTAGTACTTAATATCGAAGAGTTCTCTTTTCTGGTTCTCCTTTCTGCCAATCTGTTAGTATCATCATGTTGGGATACTAACAGGTTTCCCTTGAGGGTATTTTAAGTATTTCAAAGTGGGGCGCTTGTACATTGTTGTAATACCATTCTAGACATTGCTCCTATTAGCTAAATATTCAAGAAGAGGTGTGGTAGAAATCTAAGTAATCCAGCAATAATTGCCTCGAAAATCTGTCCTTGAGGGATAATGTGGATTTATGGACTAATCGCGGAAATAGCTCATCTCTAGACAGAAGCAACCGACAGTTTGGACTTTGTCTCTTTCCTATTATCGTTTTTCTTTTTAGTCTATCGGTAGTTGCCTGAGCGCCTTCGCCAGTCAAATGGCCCAAGGACAATGGAATCTGTTGTACTACGGATCAGCTGGTATTTGCCTCGTTGGTCTATTTTTCCTTACTTGGATCTTTGATCCTAAAATGTCGAGGAGATTCCGAGCTCTGTTCCCGTGTGCCAAATCCGATCAACGCCAGAAGTAGGCGAAAGGAGTTGTGAATCGATTCGCTTCCTTTTGAAAATAAAACTCATTCCTAATGCCCTCCTTCGTTCCTTTCCACGTCACCCATAGCCACTTTTCGTAGACTTGAAACTCTCTTTCTGCCTCTTTGATCCTTTTGTGTCATGCGAATCGTATTTTACTATCCATTTTACTTAATGTATGAACTCGTTATCGTTGGAATTTCGTTTTCTAAATGGGGATTAGAGGGTGGCTTGATTTGAATAATCCATTGTGGGGTTGGATGATAAAGTACCTTTACGTCTCTCCTATGACCTTGCCGGAAGAGTATTGATACTTTTCTTGTAACGCACCTACTCTAGGGCATAAAACGAGTCTATTTTGCGGGGGTTTTGTGCTTGTTTTCTCTTTTAATGTCCGAGGTCACATTTGTCGATTGCTTAGGTTAGACATATTACTATCTTATTGGACTTGGGAATTGAGCGACCATGCGCGACGGTCTAGCCGCAACGCATTACATTGAAGACAACTTATCTCTGTTGATTGGATACAGTTTCTTGTAATGGACTGCTTAGCCTCTATCGCATTTAAGTAGCTTGCTAATGCTACTCATTTATGCTCGTTTATTTCATTATAGTAGTTTATAAAAATTTTACTAGGTTAAATGAGATGTGAAATTTGTTAATTTCCATGCTCCTGTATTTTATGACTTCATGGCTGGACTGTTTGTGACATGTCTGGTTTATCCATAGCTTTGACGACAACTTGATGACAGTTGTTTAAGTCCTCAGAATTGTATGGTTGTAGATTTGCCTTCTCGTATAATCGCGTTATTTACTAATCCTTTCTTAATTAATTTGCTGGCAGAATAAAGCTTGGATCAGCAGTTCATCGAGATTTGATACAGAAATGGTAGATTCTATAAAGTCGGCGGTTTTCGTTTAACTGAATCCGGATCCGAGTTAGATGGTTAATTATGCTTTGTGTTAAAATCTATCTAGCTTCCCACTTAAGCTTTACTAGAGGGATTAGCGGGTGAAGTATGGTGATTTATTAGCACCTTCGATTTCATATAACCTTGATACATTTTTTTCACTATACTAATACGGTGCTTTAGGGTCTAATTGCAAGGATTTTTACACCGAATATCAAATTTTATTGGACGCATGCCTTTATCCATTTTCATTTTCAGATTTGAACGGTGCCACTTCAAGCATTCATAGTTTGGGAGCATTTGGGCGGTATTGGAATGCATTAAAACGGTAGAATGCAACTTTGGTTATAGGGATGGAAAAAATAGATGTGGGTAAGGTGCAGAGGCTAATTTAATTTGAGAGCGTTGAGAGACCAGCCAGAAAGTCAAGGAAAAGGAAATGCATTTTAATTACCAAAACTTTCCGCTTGATTAGAATGAATCAATGGATTTACTCAAAACACTTAACCGCCTTATCCTTATGTAAGGAAATTCCATATAATTTTACGATAGGATCGAATTGGGTCAATTTAGGAGATTTATGTGCTGGTGCGTCCTTTTGGCGCTTAAGGTTACCCAAAGTGAGTATCTGCACAGAGAAGAAATTAATAGCCCACTAGCCATCTGTTTCAAAATATTGTGCTTGGTTAATTCCATGCCAGCATTTCCAGTTAGATATCATTTAAACTGAATTATCAAAATGTAATAAGGAAGGTACACGAGAACTGATCTGTTATCCACCCTCCAGAAAAGCCATGTTTTCGCTTTACAAATGTTTCCTAAATGAGTAGCAAGTTCCAGATTAAATGTTATTTCCCGGAAACTCATTATGCTATGCTGTTCGGAAAGCCAGTACTGAAACCGCTACGTATTCAACCCATATGTAGTTACACGAAACCTCGGAAGTTTGTATCTTTCAAAGCCTTTTCGATGCTGAAATACCACTTTTTGTGGCTCAAATTGAATTCTCATTATTATAGTTTTGTAGATCACATCTTAAGTTCTCTTCTCGTTCTATTGAAGTCTTGAATACTCCTCATCAATATATTCCTCCTCCAAACCAGCTACCACAAACTATGATGCCAATATCGTCGTCTTTTTTCACTAATCACCTCCATCGTACTTGGTGAAAGTTTGAATAATTCGTCGCGGAAAGTTTGGTTTAATTTTACTTTTCAGTGGCAAGGGAGAGCCGAAGATTCTTTGTAACTTATTTATTCGCATTGCCATATTAGCGTTCATTTGTTTACCGCACATAAATGGTCAACCCAGTTAAATGAATGAGCTGCTCCACTTCTAGAATCCCAACAAGAGGCGGTTATCAGCTCTATTTTCAATGGTACAGTGGCCATGACGACTTCTTGATCAAAGAGACCCAAAATCGCATTGGAAGTAATTCGTCTGCTATTCATAAAAAGAATCCTCATTGAACCTCAAATATGAAATAGGAAAGATCTCGTTACTCAAGTATAATTGGACATTTTAAACTGTAGGTATAACCTAGGGTTGGTACTTTTATTGCATTGAGTGTAAAGGGCAAAATTTCAGTGACTCCTCAAACTCTGGGAAAGGTTAATAAATGACATGTAAATTTCTAAAATTGAAGGACCACAGAAATTGAATCAGCAGCGTGTTCAGTAGATGGGTTCAACAAAATTTCTTAAGAAGTGGTGGTTAAGCAATTAAACAAAATTATGAGGACGATGAGAGCAACTTAATTAAACTTTTAATTGCAAATAACTAGTTAAACCGGTGATTCACCACCAAAGACGAAGTAGGGTTCTTCTTCCTACGTATTGGATATTTGCCTGTAAGTAAAATTTGCAACGCTTGTTTACCAACCAAACTACGATATAGCATAAAAGCACTTGAAGTTTACGCTAGACCATACCAGGGCGGAGGGGGAGGGGCCATTTATAAAAAAAATTATTTATATTAAATGACAGGCGTTTTGATAGTTAACATTAGCCCTTTAATTAACTTCAGGCTTCACAGAGAGAAGGATCATTAAAGTGAGAAAAGTCGAGAAGGGAGAGGGTGCAGAAAAGTGATTCACAGATGTAAGAAACAGGCAGACACAAAGGCAAGGCAAGATGAGTACTGCGGAAGGGGTTGAATATGACATACAGTGAGGTGATGGTAGTTTGAAGACAGAAATCAACTGCCGGCTAATAGACTTTTTGCCGTGTGAGTGTACGTTGCTCAGGGTGCACCACACCAATTATGAAAAATCGAAGTGCAAATACAGAGAAATCAGTGACTAATATTTCTTTTCGCTGTATTATGTTAGGTTCGCAATTCATAAATTAATTTATCAATTTCGAATAAGTCACAGCACACAATTTAAGGCGCCGTGTGCATTTGTTTGCGAAAATGAAATAATGTGATTTTATTGCTAGAGGGAATATTAAACGTTATCTTCTATTCACTTTCACATTTATCAAGTTTTCTAAAACAGATTTGAGTAGAAATGGAAAAAAAATGCGTTCGGAGCAACATCTTCCACAGTGGGCATACACGCGAGCGGACTTTCCTTCGATGCTTAATATTGAGCTACAGTGATGAATGTTCTGCATTGAAATAAAATAACGAAATGAAACTCGTTGTACACAATCCTTTAATTTTGTTGAGTTTCAGTTCGCTATGTTGCACTCTTATAAAAATGATATACCTTGCGATTTGTCGCCAATACGTCTTCACTCTCCGTAATTACAGCATTGAATTGCCATTAATGAAAAAGGATCAATCGAGGCGGTATGATTAACTGCTCAAGGTGTCTTACTGATCATTATATTTACTGTTTATTACCTAACTATGATTAAGTTAGATGGATAGTCAAATGCCATCATAATACAAATTAAGGCTTCTTAACTACCTCTGACCAAGTTCGATGATTGAGCTGAAACTTTCACCAGTTGCAAGGAAAACCTTGTAACACTATGCATGCAAACGCCAAAACGTATTTGCTGCAAACTCAAATCAACTCTTTGTTTTTCCATTTTATTGTCAATCCTGCTTTAGCTCTAATTTATTCCTCTATTACAAAGTTTAGGAAAAATTATGTTTTTTATTAAGGGGTGTGCGAGAGACTTACCTCCACGTGGTGCACCCCGGGCAACGTATAATCATATGGCAAAAACGTCTGTAAACCGGCAGTTGACTTCTCACTTCAAACTACCATGACCCCAACTGTATGTCATATTCGACTACTTCCACAGTACCCACCTCACTTTTTTTCTACCTTTGTATCTGTCTCTTTTACGTCTTTGAAACGCTCTTCTGTTACCCCCCCCCTCTCGACTTTTTTCACTTTGATGTTCCTTCCCATCTGTGAAGCCTGAAGTCAAGTAAAGGGCTAATGATAACTATCAAAACGCCTGCCATTTCAAATAATAGTAATATGTTTTTTTATTAATATCAGCGAAACTGGCTAAAGCCCAGTTTTCAATAAAGTCCTTCATTCTCATATTGACGTTTATAGGAATGGAACTCTAATAACTTGAGTGACGTCAATAATTTCCTTCCTGGTTAAGGGATCTGTCTTATGACTGGACTACCAATTGCGTTAAGCCCTTAGAAGCATGTGGATTTATTCAAGAAATTAGGTTATGTAATACGTTAGTAAGGAATCACTCATAAGTGAAAACCGAGGACAGGGGACTTTCATCGGCCAAATTTGCTCCCACCACCTTGTTAGACAAGTTGTTAAGCTAGACTAGACTTGGGAGACCCTATGAAGAGTACTTGATCCATCACCAGTCCTATGAACTAGATTTAAGTAATGATATAGGTCATCCATTTCACTGAAAGGTTAATAATCTGGTGATATCTAATTTGGTAGTGTGAAAGCTGACAATTAGGCCACTGCGTTAATAAAGTTTTTAACATTGACCATTTCGTAAAGAATCTAGTTAATTCCAAAATCATCTACTCTGATAACACCGACTTTTGACCGTTTGTCTGAGTGGAAGAGGGAAATGTCACGAATCCACTCCTCTTTTCTCTTGCCACTCTGGCCACTTACGCGATTGCTGTCACTTAGTGTCTGT